TGATCCTTGGAGAAAATGATTGTTTGAAATGGCACAGGATTATCAAATCAATTGTTTAAATTATAAACTGAATATCTGTATTATAAATGAGAAAAAAAAAAAAGAAATAGCCAGGCGTGGTGGTGCACGCCTATAATCCCAGACTCTGAGAGACTGAGGCAGGAGGTTCACAAGTTCAAGCCCAGTGGTGCAATTTAGTGACTTCCTGAGGTCCTGTCTTAAAAAATAAAAATAAAAGGGCCAAGGATTTAGCTCAGTGGCACCGTGACTGCCTTTGAAGTGCAAGGTCCTGAGTTCGAACCCTGATACCAAAAATAAATAAATAAATAAAAATTTAAAAGGACAGCTCAGTGCAAAGACCCTGGCTTCAATCCCCAGTACTGAAGGGGGAAAAAAAGTGCTAGCTATCATAGTTGGGGCTGTGAAAGATAGACAGGGTGGGTTGCTGAGTACCAGCACCCTGCCCAGGAGGGACAGTGGTTATCCTGACCAAGATAGGCACAGAATGGCACCCAGGGCCAGCGTCACTACACTCCTGCTCAGCCAGCCTCAGGGCCTGCACAGCAGGACCTGGTTGGCTCACATGGCTTTGTGTTCCAGGCCAAGACTGAAATCACTGCGTTTCAGCAGCAAAGGAAGGAGTCATGCTGGAAGATCAGGGAGAAAGACCTGGGACAGCACAGGGGGACATGGGGACCAGAGCACAGGGCCAAGACCAGCACCAGTGCCCTCTGGGAGGGGGTTGTCTGGGGCCAGCAGCCCTCACAGGTAGGGCCTGGAAGCTCACAGGCTTGTGCCACCCAAGAGATCCAGCAACCCTGCTCTGCGTGTACCACCTCTGCTGGGGTTCAGTCCCTCCCCACCAGCAAAATGCTCCTTCTCAGAGTAGGCCTCAGTTTACTTTCTGGTAAGGCTGACCCTTTGGAATAAGAGCGATTGTATTTTTCCTACAGCATTGCTTTTCTAATAGTTGTTTGTTTTTTTTTTACTTGAAACCAGAGCCTTTGGATGGTCCTCAACCCTTTGTATTTATTTTGAAACAGGACAGGTCTCGCTAAGTCACTAGCTGCCCAAGCTGGGCTTGAAGTTGAAATCCTCCTGCCTCAGCTTCCCAGAGTGCTGAGATGACAAATATGAGCCACCAGGCCTGGCTTGAATTATTTTTTTTTCAAAATGTTTATTCTTGAATTATTATTATTATTATTTTAAATTTTTTTGGTACTGGGGATTGAACTCAGGACCTTACACTTGTGAGCCAGGTGCCGAAACCACTGAGCTAAATCCCCGGCCCTTGAATTATTTTTTTAAAAAGATGTTCTCACACTGTTTTAAGTTCACAGCAAAATTGGGAAGAAGCTACCGAGGTTTCTCTACAACTGCATCCTCTCCATTATCAACCCTCCCAAAGTGATAGGTACATTGTCACCTTGATGGACTGACACAGACATCTCTGTCCCCTAAAGTCCATTTTCTCAGTTAAATGAGCAGGTAAACAGAGGCTTAGTTTCAAAGACACTCAAGAGTTGGTATAGTAGAGTTGCTGTGAAGTAGAGAAGTTAGAGCTGGCGTGGTGGTGCACACTAGCCTGTAATCTTAGCACTCAGGAGGCTGAGGCAGGAGGATCACTGCTAGTTTGAGGCTAGCCTGAGTTACATAGCAAGACCTTGTCTCAACAAACAAACAATCAAAAAACCAAAGAAAAAAAATAGAGGAGTTAGAAAATAGCTGGGCATGATGGGACACACCTGATTCCAGCACACTGAGAGGCGGAGGCAGGAAGATCAAAAGTTCCAGCCCAACCTGGGCAACTTAGTGAGACTCTGTCTCAAAATAAAAAAGGGTTGGGGGTGCAGGTCAATGCTGGTTTGATCCTCAGGACTGGGAAAAACATGTAGAAAATAATACACATCTCTGGTAATACAGATTGGTTCAATGAATCAGGACACATTCCTCAAGTAGGATACCAGGCAGTTAGGAGAAAGATGTGCAAAATATTTTGTTTGTTTGTTTATTTTAAAATAAGGTCTTGCCATGTAGCCCAGGCTGGTCTGGAACTCAAATTCGACCTGCCTCAGCCTCCTGAATGCTAGGATTACAGGCATACATCAGCATGCCTCACCAAAAGAAATTTTCTTTTTTTTTTGGTACCGGGGATCAAACTCAGGTCCTTGTGCTAGCGAGGAAAGTGGCAGAACCACTGAGCTAAATCCCCGGCCCTCACCAAAAGAAATTTTATTAAACAGCAATATGCTTGTGAAGTAAGTAAAAGAAAAGGAAAAAGAAAAGAAGCCAGATTTCAATATCAGAATCAACCACTATTTATTTATTTAGGCTTTTTTGAGACAGGGTCTCCCTATATAGTTCAGGCTGACCCTGAACTCATGGCAGTCCTCCCGCCTCAGCTTCCCTGATGCTGGGTGTACAGCCCTATTTTCTTGTTTTATAACTACGAAAACTATTTATTTATTTTATTTTATTGCTATTTATTTACAAAAAATTATATATACACTGAGATATGATTCTAAAGATATATGCTAAGTTTTGACTAGTGATTATCTTTTAGTAATGGAGTAATGGTGGTTTCAATATTCTTCTTTTTTGTACCAGGGATTGAAACAATTTTCTTCTTTTAAAGAGAGAAAATTGAAGGAAAAAATGGAAACAGCTTTTGTATATAAGGAGGGATAGAGAAAAAAAGAAGAAGCAAGATATATCATGTACCGGTACAAATTCCCTATGATGAATGCAATCATTATGTACATCTAAAATGTACCCATAAATGTTTTGTTAAAAATATTATTTTTCCTTTTTTAGTCTACAGTATTTAAGTTTCTTTCTAAATTCAACACAACAAATTAGTGATAGTAAAAATTATTTATATCTAAAAATAGGAAGGCGTACACAGGCAGAAAATCTCAAAAGGAAGACCCTGTGGGACAGTACCCTGAGACAGAAAAAAGCCCCTCTCTCGGGGCCCTTGTCAGGAGCCCACAGGGTGGGGCGGCTTGGAAAATGATGATTATGGTTTCTGCTGCTAACAAAACTCCCACCAGACTGCAGGGTAATTTTCGTGTAAAGGAGAGAGTTGTTGGCGAGGGAGTCACAGTAGGGAAAGTTTTCCACGATCCTTCCGCGTGTCCCTCAGCCCCACGCCTGGGTGTGGACTCAGAGCTCTCAGCCTGGAAGTCAGGCCTGATCCCGTCTCAGCCGGCGATTTCCACAGAGGCCAGGACATTCTCATCTGAGCTCACCACCCGGTGTCCCCAGGACACTCTCTCCCTCTCCTCCCCTTTCCTTCTCCCTTTCTCTTTGTGTTTTAAAATTCAAATGTAGTAATTCACTCTTCACAGTACTTCATTCTTCAGACAATGACATCTCAGAAGCCTCAGTCTTACAGAATCTTATTTTTGTTTATTTATTCCAATAGGGATTGAACCAGGGTGTTTGCTGCATCTCCAGATACCCCACCCCACCCCCCTTTTTTGAGACAGGGTCTCATTAAGTTGCCCAAGCTAGGCTCAAATTCCTGTGGTCTTCCTGCCTCAGCCTCCCCAAGTCCTGGCATTCCAGGTGTGTGCCACCATGCTCAGATTATTTTGACTTTTGGTGCTGGGGGTTGAACCCAGGGCCTTCCTCATGCTACGACCAAGACCGCATCATTGAAAATGAGTGCGTCCGGGTGTGTGACTTGGATGGCATCTGTGTTGTGGCAGAGCCCATGTCAGGTTGTGTGTGAAGTGAGCAAAGCCTCAGCACAAGGACAGGGCCAGCCAGGGCACAGGTGTGTATGGGGACAGCCAGGGGCTGACAGAGGTCGAGGTGGTAGACTGAAGAATAGAGGGCTTTATCTGTTTAGTTGTTTGAGACAGGGTCTCACTAGGTAGGCCAGGCTGACCTTGAACACAGGGCCATCCTCCTGCCTCAGCCTCTGAGTGCTGGGATGGAAGGTGTGTACCACCATGCCCTGCTGGCACCCCGGGTGGTTCAGTAGCCATTCTGTCCCAAATGGTTTGCCATCCCTGCATCTGGTGCCCTTTCAAGTGCTGACCAAGCCTGTCTTGTGCTCCCTTCCCCTTCCCCCCTTCCCTAGCTTGCCCTCTGCAGCTGGCTTGGCTCCAGTCTACGCAGTTATTGACCGCCTACTGTGTGCAGAAGGACAGGCATCCAGATGTGGCTAAAGAGGTACTGCAGCCCGAGGCTCCTGATGCTAAGAAGTCTCTGCCCTGAGCTAGGGCTGAAGGGCTGCTAGGCAGCAAGTGCTGAGCATCCACAGGGAGAAAGGCAGGAGCTTCGGTAAGGGAGATTCTTGCACACTGGTGCTTCTTTTGCTTGTTTAGAGGTCAGGTCCCTACATTGGCCAGGCTGCCCTTGAGCCTGTGATCCTCCTGCCTCAGCCTTCTATAGCTGGGATTACACTCGCACCAACATGTGGAGCAGCACGAGCCATCCCAGTGGTTCCTAAGGGCTGTCTGGGATGGTGATGTTCAATCTGAGCTCAGGACAAGCACTGCAGGCAGAGCTGCTGGAGGGTGAACAGCAAGGACTCAAGGCGAAGGAAGCCAGAAGTCAGGCTGCTGAGCTTTGCGATCTGGGGCAGGGAGTGTAGACTTCACTCCAGGTGGAGTTGGAAGTTGTGGATGGTGTAAGTGCAGCTGTAACAAGTTCTGACTGACACTGTGAAAAGGAAAGTGATGAGAGCAGTGAGGAAGGAGCGTTTCAAAATGTTGGGCATCCCAGCACCTGGGAGGCTGAGGCAGGAGGGTCACCATGAGTTCAAGGGCAGCCTGGGCTACACAGTGAGACCTGTATCAAACAAACAAACAACAAACCTAAGAAAAACAGATTGTTGATGGGTGTATTTTAGGAACCTTCTGTGGTTAACAATATTATGAGACTCTTCTAAGGTTTTACATGGTGACACAAATGACATAATAGTGACAACACAATGCTCCAGCTGGCTTGAGTGTTCCATACTCTGTGAACTTTGTTTCTAGCGTGCACTTTCTCCTCATAAGATGGGTTTTGGGTTCCTTCTCCCTACTATAAGAAGGAGGAAGCCACACCACCAGGTGACATAGTTTATTCAGAGCCAGGTGAACAGCAAGGGCAGCAGCTGGGATCTTAACTCAGCTCTGGTTCCAGTGCCAACGGCAGTGTCTCCTGATGGCACGGGTGCCCCTCACTTCCCTTCCCCAGGTCATCCATTCTGTAGACCAAGGCCAGACTGTATCTCCTTCATGAATGCTCAAGATGCTCCTGTTGCCTACAGGAGCCAGTAAGGGCCAAACTCTTTCAGCTACTCAAGGGTCAGCATTGCCAAGACTCTGGCAAAGCCAGGCATGAGACCCCCAGTGAACATGTTGTAGAGGGTTGGCTGTGAACTTCCAAAGAACCCACATCAAGCCTTGTGAATACTTTCTGCCCTCATCCACATGAAGCGTTAAAGGCAAAATTTCAACGGTTGTTTTTTTTTTTTTTTTCCAGTACCATCAAACTCAGGACCTTGCACTTGCCAGGCAGGCACTGGTACCATTGAGTTAAATCACCAGCCCAGGAAGCATTTCAAATAAAAGGAATACCAATGATATTTTCACATCCTAAATTACTAAGGGTGGCTAATGTACAAGTAAATTCATTTTGCCATCTGTTGCTTGCTAAAAATCTTAGTATATCTTTTCAAGGAAATCATAATGAGACAGTCTAAAAAAAAATGAAAGAAAAAAATATTACGCTTTCTGGATATGTCTACTAATTAGTTCTTGTCTGAGTCCAGTTGTTTTGCTGAGACAGAGTCTCATATGTAGTTTAGGCTGATCTTGCACTCTCTATGTACCCAGGCTGACCTTGAACTTGCAGAGATCCTCCTGCCTCAGCCTTCCAAGTGTTGGGATTACAGGTGTGCACCACCATGCTTGGCTGAGTCTAGTTGTTTTAGGATGGCTCTGCTTGTGTGATATAGGATAGCATTACTATTTGAAAAAACCTGCGTTATTTAATTATGTGTTTACTTATAGTAGTATGGGGCTTGGACTCAGGGCCACATCTCCAGCTCCCCTCCTCTTTTTATTTTGAGACAGGATCTCATTAAATCGAGAAATTGCCCAGACTGGGCTCAAACATGCAATCCTCCTGCCTTAGCCTCCCCCAGTGTCAGGAGGACAGGTGGGTACCACCACACTCAGCTGACGAGCCTGCTGTAAATACTCTTCCTGTTGACCGAGAGGTATGAGGAAGTAAGGGGTGCTGCATTCCGGTTCCATCCCAACCTTCTCTTGAGCACCCTCTGGTGTACAAGAAGTCAGCATTTTTATGCAGCTAAAGGAAACTGATGGTGTGAAGGACTGTTGTGGGTCTCCTCTGGGAGAGGGCTACTTTTTCTCCTTCTTCTTGGTGCAGCGAATGGAACCCAGGGCCTTGTGTGAACAGGGCAAGCGGCAGCCCCAGCCCAGGGCTACTTTGCATTTACTTGTTTTGGGGGTAGGAGGTTTCTGAGATGGGGTTCTCTATGTAGTTCAGGCTGGGCTTGAACTCACTATGTAGCCCAGACTGGCCTGGGATTCGAAGTGATCTTCCTGCCTCAGCCTCCCAGCTGCTGAGATGACAGGCATGTGCTACCATGCCCAGCTTTCTTTATTTAGTTATTTTGTTCAAGTTTAAAGTGAGGAAGGGAGACCAAACTGTGTCTACCTGATAGTGGGGGGGCTGCACCCTGAATGTCATGTGTTCTCTCTGAACCAGGCACTGGACCAGCAGGTCCCCTCTCAGCACAGTCCTGTCCTTGATGCACTGGGTGTCCTGCATCAGAGAGGAAGCTAGGTCTCCTTCCGACTTCCTAGTTCTGTGACTCTGGTCCTGGCCACCAGAACATCATCAGCCATGGTCAAGCCTGACTTCTCGGGTGTGTCCCTATCTGTAAGTAGCAGGTTGGGCAGGTCACCAAGGCGGTGGCCCTGTGGAACAGGGCAGGCACAGACCCTCGAGGTGGGGAAGTCACTTCCTGCGGGTGATTTCCAGATGCCTGCCGTGTGTTGGGTGTGAAAACCACGGCCACAGGACACGGCACACAGGAGAGGCTGGGCAGCTTCGGCAGGCTCAGCACGCAGTAGTGCTCAGCCTCCCCTTCCCTGCCCCACAGCTGGGGGTGCAGGGGGTTCACGGGGTTCACAGAGTAAAGTGCAGTGGCCCCAGGGCTCAGTTCTAATTACTCTAGCTGTCTGTGGGCCTTTGAAAGTCCCCGCACCCTGACCCTGGGGCCCAGGCACCCCCGCCCTAACCAGCTCTGTGCCCAGGGCCAGTCGCCTCTGGGCTTCACTTTCCTCTGCAGTGCGGAGGCTCCTGACTCAGCCTCCCCTGGGCTGGGCCCCACTCTGCCCCACACCCATCTGGCCCTCCCATCCCTGGCAGGCCCTGGGGCTGCCCTGGGTGAGTCTGTCCTTTGCCCCCTCCCAGGGACCCATCAGTGTCCCCTTCGCCCTGCTGACCCTACAGGCCGCTGCTCTCACAGCAGGAAAGCACTGACCGGTTAATGAGGCACTTGGTGCCTCTCATGGCTGGAGTGGAGCCTGGCTGGGCCGGGCCGGGAGGGCGGACAGAGACTGTGCCTATGTGCAGACTCCAAACCCCACAGGCCTGAGTGGCTCCTTAGCTGTCTGTCCCCTGCTCTCAACTCCCAGTCCCAACTTGTCCCTCTCATGTGGATTTTCTACACAGCTAAATGTTCTACAGTGAAAATTCATTTGAAGCTCTTTCTTGTTTAATTTTTTTTTTTCTGGCTACTGGGGATTGAACTCAGAGCCTTTGGACGGAGCCACATCTCCAACCCTTTTCAGCGTCTCACTAAGTCATTAAGTTGCCCATGCTCAACTGAAACTTGCCATCCTCCTGCCTCAGATCCCCTGAGTGGTGGGATTACAGGCGTGCACCACCGTATTCAGTTTAGTATGTTCTGTGAAGTGCAAAGTCATTAATTTCCATGATGCCTAAGTTATATGTATGGATGTGTATTTGGTTGTCTTTTCTTCCTTCTTCCTTCTTCTTCCCCTTTTTCTTTTTTTTGTTCCAGTGATTACAAACAGGCCCTTGAGCAACGTAGTTTTTGGTTTTCTATGTAAGAAATCTTTGACTAAATCAAGATTAGTGGATTTTCTCCTGGAAGATTTATACTTTTAAGTATATTTTGAGATAATTTTGTGTAGGGTGTGAGACACAGATCTGGATTATTCTTTTTAAATTTATTTTCTTGAGACAGGGTCTCTCTATGTAGCCCAGGTGGGCCTGGAACTGAAGCTCCTCTTGCCTCAGCCTCCTGAGTGCTGTTGGTACAGGTGGGTACCACCATGCCAGCCTCTGATTCTTCTTTTTTCATGTGATACTCAAGAGTTTTACCACCATATGTTGAAAAGATCATCCTCTGGCTAAGCTGTCTTTGAAGGTTTGTTGGAAATCATTTGATGTCTGTACATACACACGACTGATGTGTGTGTGTGTTTATACCCAGATCACATTTTCTCCATAGCTGTAGCTGTACAGGTAATGCAATTCCTCAAACTTCTTTGAGGTTGTTTAAGCTATGCTAGTTTCTCTGCATTTCCATAAACATTTTAAAATCAGCTTGCCAAGTTCCACAGAAGAGCCTGCTGGATTTTTTTTTTTTTTTTTTTTTTTGAGATAAGGTCTTGTAGTGTAGTTTGAGGCTGGCCCTGAACTCACAGCAATACTCCTGCATCAGCCCCCTGAATGGAATTTTTTTTTGTATATCCTTTTATTGGTACATTTTTAGGTGTACAATAAAAATATGTCACTAACTTTTTTTTTTTTTTCTTTTTCTTTCTTTTTTTGGTACCGGGTATCGAACTCGGGTCCTTGTTGTTTCTGCAGCAGGCTGAGTGGAATTTTGATTGAGATTGTATTGAATCTAACAATTTGAATTTTCCAGTTGGTAAACAAATATATTTGTTTGTTTGTTTATTTTGGGAGGGAGTCTTTTTTTTTCTTTTTTGGCATCAGGAATTGAACTTGGCCTCGAGCTTGCTAGGCAGGTGCTACGCCACTGAGCTACATTCCCTATATTTCTTCATTTACTAAGGTTTTCTCTGATTTCTCTCAGCAGTGTTTTGTTAGTTTTAAGGATACATCCTCTGTAGGGCAGGTGCGGTGCCGCTGAGCTAAATCCCCAGCCCTGTGGGGTTTTTTGGTACTAGGGATCGAACTCGGGACCTTGTGCTTATGAGGCAGGCGGCAGAACCACTGAGCTAAGTCCCCGGCCCAAGCATACATCCTTTGTCATAGCTCACCCTAAGTATTTCACATGGCTTTGTTTGCTTTTTGCAGTACTGTGGATCGAACTCAGGACCTTGTGCATATTTCATGCTTTGATGCTTCTTAAACATTATTATTTAAAAATTTTCAATTCCTATTGTTCATCATTTAAATTTTGGCTGGTTCCAGTAGTTCTTTGTTTCGTTTCTTTGTTGTTATTGGTACTGGGGATCAAACTCAGGACCTTAGGCTTGCCAAGCAGGCGTGGTACCACTGAGCTAAATCCCTGGCCCCAGTTTTTGTTTCTTTTTCTGTAGATTACATTTGATTTTCTTTCTTTCTTTTTTTTTTTTGGTACCAGGGATTGAACTCGGGTCCTTGCGCTCACACAGCAGGCAGCGAAACCACTGAGCTAAATCCCCAGCCCTACATTTGATTTTCTACATAGATGATCATGTCATCTACAAATATAGATAGTTTTATTTTTTCCTTATTTTCAGGCTTTATTGCTGTGGCTGGAACATCCAGCTGAACAGACCTGGTTGAATTGTTGAATAGACCTGGTGAAAACAAGTATCTTTGCTTTGTTTGTTTTGTTGAGACAGGGTCTTGCTATGTAGCCCAGGTTTGCAGTGATCCTCCTGCTTCTGACTCCTGAGTACTGGGATTCCAGGCGTACACCACTGCTCCTGGCTTGATGATTTTTTTCTTGAGTCTGCTAATAGAGTTAATTATGTTTACCTGTAAATGTTAAATCAACTTTGCATTCATGACATACACCCTACTTGGTGATGATGTATATAACCTTTTTCAGATACTGGTGTATGTCATACATCATTAAGAATTTTTTGCATCTGTGCTCCTGAGGAACATTGGTTGGTAGTCTTCCTTCTTGTGGTGTCTTTGGTTCTGGTAACGGAGTAATGCTGTTCTCACAGAATGAAGTGAAAAATATTCCTGCCTTTTGGATTCTCTGGAAAAACTAGTGTAGAATTATCACTACCTATTTTCAACATTTCAAAGAATTTAAAGTGAATTCTTACAAGTATAGAGAAAAACTGAAAGACTAAAATGGGTCAAAAAGAGTACTGGGTGTACCCTCTCTAACTCATCCAGCCATCTCAACTTTCTTGGATTGACTTTTTTTGTTTTTTATTTTTGTTTGTTTGTTTGTTTGTTTTTGGTACTGGGGATTGAACTTGGGTCCTTGTGCTTGCATAGCAGGCAGCGAAACCACTGAGCTAAATCCCTGGGCCTTGTTTTTTATTTTTGTTGTTGTTTTTTGGGGGGGGTTTTTTGGTACCAGGGATTGAACTCAGGATCTTTTGCTTTTGAGGCAGGCAGCAGAACCACTGAGCTAAATCCCCAGCCCTGTTTTTGATTTTTGAAACAAGCACTCAATGTTTAATTCATGCTGGCCTTGAATTCACTGTGTAGCCCAGGCTGGCCTCAAACTTACATTGACTATCCTGCCTCTGCCTACCAAATCCTGAGATTACAAGCATGACACACCAGGACTGTCTCTTTGAACTGTTTAACGGAAAACAATAGAAAAACAATAAATAAATCTTGCCCCAAGAAATACAAATAAACTGTCTGGTGGAATGCAATTTCTCATTGCCCTGTGACCAGATATCTTGCATATATTATAAAATCATTTTATATAATTGTGTGTTTTTTGTTGTTGTTTTGTTTTTGTGATGCTGGAGATTGAACCCAGGGCTACCCTGAGCTATAATCGTAGCCCTTTTTCTTTTGAGTCAGGGTCTTTCTCAGTTGCCCAAGATGGACTTAAACTTGCAATCCCCCTGCCTCAGGCCCCCAGAGTGCTGGGCTTGCAAGTGTGTGTCACCACGCCTACTTATATCATTGCCTGTGTTTTGAATTATTTATTTATTTATTTATTTATTTGAGATAAGTTCTCGATTTGTAGTTCAGGCTGGCCCTGAACTCACTTTGTAGCCCAGGTTAGGTTCAAACTTGCAGCGATCCTCCTGTCTCTGTCTCCTGAGTGCTGGGATTATAGGCATGTGCCACCTAGCCTGGTGTGTTTTGAATTTTTAAAGACATTTTTCTTTTTGGTTGACACAGATATTGTACATATTTATGGGCTACAGGATACAATGTTTAAAGGTCAGATAAGGACAATCAGCACACCTATCACTCAGATACTTCTCATTTTGAATTAAGGATCTTTGTTTAGTGCATATTGCTATGCAGATTAATGGGTTTCATTTGGTCAGATTTGTCCACATACACAACATACTTCTATCATTGTCACTGAATTATCTTTTGTAAGAATTGTAACATTATACTTTTTTTTTTTTAGGCAGGGTCTTGCTATGTAGTTCACGCTGGCCTTATACTATGTAGCCCAGGCTAGCTTCAAATTCATGGCAATCCTCCTGCCTCAGCCTCCAGAGTGCTGGGACTACAGGCGTACGCCACCACACCTGGCCATCGTACTGGTTTTCCCATTAGTTAATGAGTTAAATAAAATCCTAGGCACGAGTACATTTTATATTTGCACAGGAATCATCATTTTACCTTAAAACTATCCTCCAACACAGGAATTGGGAGAATTCTTAGTATCTCCTGTGTTTGATCCAAGGATTAGCAGGTTGGTTAGCTGCTGAAAACACAGAAGAGGACAC